ATTGTTTTCATGGCTGAGGATTCTCAAATGACTGAAATGGCCCTCTAAAAGCTGAAAAGAGGGCTGGATTTGTGGCTCAGTGGTAGAGTACTGGCCTATCATCTGTGAAGCACTGGGTTTGACTCTCAGCACCACATAAAAATAAATAAATAAAGGTCCACTGGCAACTAAAACAATATTAAAAAAAAATCAAAAAGGGAGCCTACACCTATCTTCAGTATCTTCAACCTATTTCAATCTTGAGCTTAGACTTTGGACTTTCAGAACCCTGAGAAAATACATCCCTGTTGTTTCAACCACCCAGACTGTGGCAGCCCTAGCCCATAATAAAATGCCCAATAATTCTGGACAGAGAAAGATGATACTATGTTCCTCAATCATATCTAAATGTTTTCTCAACAAGAGGGCTCGGTCACATTTGCAAAATATAGGAAACAACATATATAGCTTTTTAGATAATGCCAGATAAATAAAAGTAGCTAACTTTATTCAGAGGAAGGATTTGAAGCTGAAATTAGTTGAAAAATTGCTTCTTTATTCAGATTCAACCTGTTTCAGATGCTTTGCTCTGTAAACAAGCAGAATACACTCCAGTGTGGCAAAGAATAAAATCAAGATTGTCATTGTCAAACTACTATTTCAAGAGAAGAAATATTTCATTGTTCATGTAGCTGAGACATAAAGTACTAGAGAACATTTAAAACTTTCACAGGAAAAATTCAATGTAAACCAAATCAACTGTCTATGGCATGGTACCTATCAAAGAGGAAAGACAAAAGTGGATTTCAATGGGAAGTTTGTACTCTCAAATCAGCCCCCTGGAAGTTATTAGAAGTCTTATAATTAAAAATGGTTACTTTAAGAGGATATGGTTGGGTCTGCCACCTGACTTACAAAGCCCGTTTCTTTGTGTGTGGCCTCCTTGAAGAGGAAAGAGGGAAAAAATTAAGGAAATTACAAAAACTTTCAAAATATTTAAAGCATTTTTTTAAAAAGGGTAAAGAGCGGGGCATGGTTGTGCATGCCTGTAATCTCAGTGGCTTGGGTGGCTGAAGCAGGAGGATTACAAATTCAAAAGCAGACTCAACAACTTAGGGAGGCACTTAGCAACTCAGTGAGACCCTGTCTCTAAATAAAATTTGAGAAAAGGGCTGAGAATGTGGCTCAGTGGTTGAGTGCTCCTGAATTCAATCCTCAGTACAAAAAAAAAAAAAAAAAAAAAAGGCAAAGAAAGACGGTATTATATCTTAATGTTCGATGGGATATTTTGGCATCATGTGTTGGCTTGCTTTCTATATAAATTGTAGATATATCAAAGAGGAAAGACAAAAGTGGATTTCTCATATGTCCTAGTCTTTTCTTGTAAGGACACCAGTAGTATTGGATTGGGCCCTATATGACCTTATTTTACCTTAATTTTCTCTTTAAAGGCCTTATCTGCAAATAGTCACATCATGAGATAGTAGGGTTCAAGATTTCAGTATATGATGTTGTGGATTGGTGGGAGATGTAATTCAGTCCATAAAAGGCATGGCGTGCATTTTTAGGGTGATTTGTTTGCTCTTTTAGTTTGTCTCTGCTCATGCTCCAAGTCGACAGAATAAAATTGTAGAGGACAGATTATAAGATATAAAATGTCTACAAGTCCATCAATATTCACTTTAGTAATCTTTTTTAGCTCCCAGTGAAGCTCCCTCCTCTGAGAGATATCAAGCAACCTTGACAGCTGTACCTTTTTAAAGTATATGGTGCTATGCCCTCTATAGAGCAATATATAATGCAAGAAGAAAGTGGTGCTTAAATTCCTAGTCATGCTCTTTTTTTCCTCGGAAACTACCATTGACTTTCTTTTTTTTTTTTTTTTAATTTTTTATTGTTGGTTGTTCAAAACATTACATAGTTCTTGATATATCATATTTCACACTTTGATTCAAGTGGGTTATGAACTCCCATTTTTACCCCGTATACAGATTGCAGAATCACATCAGTTACACATCCATTGATTTACATATTGCCATACTAGTGTCTGTTGTGTTCTGCTGCCTTTCCTATCCTCTACCATTGACTTTCTATAGCTATCAAAGATCTATTTTTTAGTTCTCCTTGGTAAGAAAAATTGTTACTAATAGCTGTAGTCAACTTTTTTCTTTCACATACCTATAAAATATATATATTATTACTTATATAGAGAGAGTTCACTCAAAAATAAGTAAGTAAAATGTACTAAAAACTCTTCATGAAGAGCACTTTTTAAGACAGGCTTATATGGACACAACTTTTAGGTATATTTTTGTGATCTCATAAAAATCACAAAGGATTTGAATTTGGAGCTTCACATATCATCAATTCTGTTTATGTGCTTTAACCCAAAAGCCATGACCAAAGTGAATTTTAGATAGCCTAAAATTAGAGCACCAGGAGAATCCAGGATAGATCTTGAGACTTAGTAAAGATGATTAGATGTCTTGATTCAACCAGACTTCTTCCCAGTATTGGACTCTGGTATGTAATGGTTTTTGGTGTTCTCATATGAAAAATTGCATCACACTGAGATAAATCCTACAAAATATCCAGGATGGTTTATGATGTTTGCTGGGGGTTTCCATTGCTTGAGTCCCTAATATATTTTGTCTTTTGGACTTGATTCACCTTCCCCACCATAGTGAATACATATGTTTCCTTGTGCTTTCCTAATGTTTTTCAGATAGATTTTCCCATTTGATAACAAACTACTATATTTCTCTACTTATTTGTTGCCAGTGGTGGTTTCTTAAGATAAAATCATTCCTTATTACCCCTTTAGCAATCTCAAACCTATGCACCCAATGTCATTTCCTGCTGGACTTTTCAGATAAATTTTTGATAGCGATAGTTGTATATGTGCGATTGTGTGTATGTGTGTGCATGTATGTTTAGGTTTCCACTTAAAGTTCAGTGCCAAAGCTACAGTACTTATACATTTTCTAAATGTGTTTTAAGCAATAAGTTGTACAACATTTTTAGAACATGTGTTAAGCTATTTCTCTAAGAATGAAGCTCTTAACAAAACATAAGCACTCTGCATGAGATCTTAGCAGCAAAGTGCTTAAAAGATAAAGTAAGAATTGGTACCATGGGAAGAACACCAGCTGTAGAGCGCACAGGTCCATTATGAGAAGTATGGTAGTGGGTAGGGAGAAAATGATTTAATCAGGAGTAAAACCAATTTTATTATAAGGGCACGCAGGGGGTGTGGCACCATAGTGAGAGGGACATTTCAAAATATCTGACAGATTTCAACAATGTGAAAACCCCGTTCTTTAAAGTGACAGTAAACCCCATCAGGTCTCCCTTTTTGATGCTATTGTTAACAGTTGACTGTTTAAAGCTGGCCTGCTAAGATGCTGTCGGCCTATTTCAATAGTGTGTAGCCAAATAAAAGACTAATTGTTGAACTACAATCAATCAAAAATGATTGCAGGGCAGAAAGAAGGTCTCCTCTGCTGATTTTCTTGTGGATCATATTATTGTGTTATGATCGAGGTAGGAATGAAGATTGAAAAGGAAGAAGAAAATAGTCCATCTGACATAAACAGTTCCACCTAATTTCTCTTTTTTGCCCCAAATATATTATTATACAGGAACATCACTTACTAGTCCTAAAACTAATAGAAAAAAAAAAAAAAAAAAAGATCTGAGAGAGATTTGGGCTAATATTTTTAAAAGGGTATGGACATTATTAGCAAAACAGCTCATGCAGAGAATCCCTACAGTGACAATTCTCGGCTTTCCTTACATTTTTTAGTGAGAAATACTCCTCAGCATTCATGAAACTGACACGGAGGAGGCATGTGACTGTGAGCCCAAGACAAAATTCTAGTTGATCATATACCTGTTAAGTTCTTGCAGGATTCTCAGCTTTTCAGTTAACCCCCAGATTGTATAAAACAATTAATTTTTGTTTTCTTTAAGCCCAGTATCTAAAACATTTTCCATGTTGCACATTCAGAAAGGCAAATCCTAGGGATCAACAGCAATACCTTTGTCTTGCTTCCTTTTAATTGTATGTAAAGATGTCACTCTCTGACACAAATACGTCCATTTCTTCAAGAGAATGCTTCCAGACTTTCAGATTGCTGGGGGAAAGGAAGATAACAACTGCCTGGCACATTTTATTTCAACTAAAACCTTCATTCTGGCAGTTACTTTCTTTAGTATTTCAGCGTCTCAACTCACACCTCCCAAGCAAAGACTTCTCTTGTTTCTAAAGAGTTGGTAAGCACTTGTGGTTTGTCTTCAGTGTGTTATCATTTTTGACAGCTTTGCATAGCCTACGTAGGCCAACAGGGGTCTGTCTAATATTGTTGCTGGGCACATTCTCCTCACTGAGATGAAAACTGAAAAAAAAAAGATATTTTTGAAGCAGTAAGAAGGAATTAATATCCTTTCTCACTCAGCATTCTATTCCTTGCTGACTTTATATTCAGGCAAAAAAAGGAAAAAAAAAAGTGTTACCCATTATTCCCTTGTACATAGCAAGGCTAACACATGTAAAGCAATAACTCATTTTCTATTGCCATGTTTAGCATATGTCTCCTGTTGGCTCAGCAAGGCCTTTAGGCCGGTCCCTTGAGCCGGCCATCATTGGCAACTCTTAGCCCCTCAGCCTCAAAACCAAATAGCTTTGAATCATGTTGAGCTGTGATGCTAATTTTCATACTGATGCATTATGGGAATAAATGTATCTGACATACTGTGTCAATGGCACTGTCTCTTTGTGTGTCTTGTTTTTTGTTAGCTGCATTCCTACAGATGGTATTCCATTGAAAATGTTCCCTTCCTACGGAAAAAGGGGAGGGAAAAAAAAAAAAAGAAAGAAAACCACGCACAGTACCAAACCTCTAGGTGCAGAAGGCTGTTAACGTTTGCTGATGATAGTAGGCAAACATTAACATAATAATTAGTGTCTTGTAATTGTTTCATTAAAACCAGTTGTTCCATTTCTCCTCGTGTTTTCCCAGAAGAGAAGCTGAATTTGGACGACAGCCAGTGGGAGGACATCCACGTTGTCACCGGAGCACTGAAGATGTTTTTCCGGGAGCTGCCTGAGCCGCTCTTCCCCTACAGTTTCTTTGAGCCATTTGTGGAGGCGATCAGTAAGTACCTCTCAGAAAGAAGCAGTCGGCAGAATAGCCTGTCATCATGGAATTATTAAGTAAATAATAAGAATAATGATCATAAAAATGAAGGAGAATAGATAATGTTCCCAATGCTCCATGTCTCTCATTTTAAATTCTGTGTTTTTGACAGCTTGTCTTATTTCTGACCCAGTAATATTATTTGAGTTTTTCACAAAAGATATCATTCAGAAAAAAAAGATAGCATCATATTTAGAGTAACCAAATTTAACTATATTTACTCTAATGAAAGTAACATCTCATGGAATCTGTTGTAAAGAGGTCACCATTTGCACGGGCTCCTGCCTTTATACTTTCAGAATTCCAATGAGTTTGCAGACAAAGGGGTCTTATAAAAGAACATAACTAATTAAATATTACATCCTTAAATATGTGTTAAATCATCAAGTGAGACACCATGTTCCCTTGGTTCAGTCTAGTAAATAGCTGCAGTTTGCTTATGAGCACTGTGAAAACCAAATTAAGTGGTGGTGAGTTTCTTCTGTTTAATGGGTGACTTAGGGGAGAGTGAATTAGATCACTTACTAACCAATAGCAATTGTACACTCTGTAAAGCCTCCCTTGCTATTATTTTCTGATTTATAAAATAGCCACACAAATAAGAATAAACAAATAAGTGAATGAATGAATGAAGATCTTTTCCATATGCAAGAAAACATCTGCTATAGATCCTTGAAAAGCAAATACTAGTACATCTCTAAATTTAATATCTTAGGGTACATTTACTATAATTGTGACAGCTTGGAAAAAGTTTCCTGGCAAGCTAGCTGATATAAGGAGGAAAGAGGAAGAAAGAAGAAAGAAAGGTAAAATTAAAAAGCTTGCAAGCCTGGCAGGAGCTTAATTAAAGTCCCAACAAGAAAAATCTCCAAGAAAAAATGTTCGACTTAGGAGGTCTAATCTTGGATGACTGTGTGTGCAGGGTTCCCAGGAGTGAGAGTAGGGATTTAGGGGCCCATATTGGAGAACAGTTCCTCAACATGTCCTTTCATTTTGATTTTCACTCGCAAAAGTCTTCACACTTGTTTAAAGCTCTGGTAAAGTGAATCAAGAGGACTAAAGAAGAGGGATTTCTCCCATGGTCTTTCTTTTGTTGCCTGCTCACAATTGCAGCTTTGGTTGTTGCTGTCACCATTGTTTAATGTAATAACAGTCTTCTCATAATGGGTCTGGCAAGAGGGGGAGCTCTTATCACTAATTATGACTTTTAATTTCATAAATAAATATACTCCACTTCTCAAGGTGAGTGAAGTTTTATAGTTCTCAGGTTCTCTTAACGTCATAAAAAGAGGAGGAATAAAGAAAAGTAGGCAAGCATGCATTTCATAACAACTTATTTGGATATTCTGTCTTGACATACTCAAGCCTGGAGGATCATTCACACCAAGGAAAGCATTTTGGTGGGAAATTAGAGTGATTTGCATTCAGGCACCTACTCTGTGTTTATTTAATGATATAATGTCATCTTAAACTTCATACTTTCAAGTGAGAATTATCTCCTTTGGAAACATACTTGCTATGTAAGCTGATTCGTGGGCTTTGATGTAGGATACCCATCACTTAAATTTCCTCTGGTTCAACTGATTTCAAAAATAGTAGTCAAGCCATTCCCTTAGCTTAAGAGAAAGGAAATCAGGCCCTCAAAACTCAGGTAAGGTTGTGACTTTTGAATTGCCATAAAGAGTAGGATGATTTCTGAGATATCCTAGACTTAAATCCAATTTGGACAGAATTTCAGAGATGCAAACATGGTCAGAACTGAATACAGCAGAGGAGAGGGAGACTGCATGCTTGGGATCCAGGGCTTTAGCAAGTGCTTCTGCTGACTTACAGAATGGGTTATGGTGAGAATGAATGAGCTAGTGCTTAGGAAACTCCTTTTAAAATGTAAGATGATGTGCAGGTGCTAATAGTGTTTGTCCAGGGGAACTGTGTTTGGAAAAGTAACCCAAAAGAGAAGAGACAGGAAAGTTTTCCTTTCATTGTTCAAGGCAAGGAGAAATGGGAATATTGTTGGAATATTTGTGTTCTATCAAAATTCACATTTGGAAATTCTAATCTTCAGGGTGATGGCATTGGAAGTGGGACTTTTGAAAGGTGATTAGGTCATGAGGGTGGAACACTGGTGATGGGATTATTGTCCTTATGAAGATATCCAAGAGTGATCTACAACATCTTCCACCATGTGAGAACACTGCTAAAAGTTGCCATCTATGAACCAGAGTGGGCCCTCACCAGACCCTGAATCTGTTGGTGCCTTGATGGTAGAATTATCAGCCACTAGAATTGTGAGAAATAAATTTCTACTGTTTATAATCTGTGCAGTTTATGGTATTTTTTAATAGCAAGACAAAAAGACTAAAACTCAGCAACCTTTCTTAAACTAACTCAGAAGAGCATAATATCCTGATTTCTTAATATGTAAAATGGATGGGTGAACCAACAGGGTAATGCGGGCAATATGTTAGAATGTTGGCCAGAGACATATACTAACCCATTTATTTTTGGCATAATCTTGAAGCTGGTTCTAGTGTTCTAAACTCAGGTTCATTCTAGATTGTAATTCATATTTAAATATCCTGAAGCAATGGAAGAATAGCACCTAGATCCTTAGCAATGGCTAAAAATCACACCAGAGGAGGCACTTTTGCTCCCTTGAGCACTAGTTAAGCTAAAAAAATCTTTCAAATTATAAAAACATTTGTATCCAGACCCAGAGGAGTCCAGGAATTTATCTCAGACCACATTTTCTTATGGAGTCAATATAATGAGAACATCACCAATTCAATCATTAGTTCTTGGCTTTATTAGGATGAAGGGTAAGTTTGTTTAGTAAATTCACAGGATATGACAATGTATGCTAAGTCTGGGTCTCTTTCCTGGTCCTTGTTTTCTGTATGCTGTACCAGAGGGTTGAACTTCACTGGCTGAATTTAACAGGTGCACTTAGGGATTGGCTTCCAGCTATGAAAGCCAATGGAAGCCACTGGCAGGATATAATAGTTGGAGGGAGAAGCAAAGTCTGGCTGGTTTATTAGTTCTTCCCTCATGCCTGTATTCATCCACCCGTCTGTGACAGGTTGCTCTTCTACCTGAGGTTCCACCTCCTCCATGACTCTTGCTTTGCCTGGACAGGCCTACTCTGGTTTCAGGTTTGATGTAATGATACAGACCCTCCTTTCCTTTCTAGACTAAAGAAGGCAGTGGCTTCCTACTGTGGCTAATTTCTTAGTTTCCTTACTTTTATCTCAGTTTCTTCATCACTTGAGTAACTAGTTCTCTGCATCAAATTAAGATCCCATTGGTGTAAATACTTAAATGGTTTCTGTTGTTTGGTTAGATATGAGCAAAATCACCATGCCTGTCAATGTCATGGTTAATGATTTCATAATGTTATTTCCCCTTTCTATTCCACTACCCCCAAATCAAGTTTATGATGGCATCACAGTTTCATTTGCCCCTAATTGAGAGATGTATTACCCTTTCATGGGCAAAGTCAAAAGATGAATAGAGGAGTTTTATGTCCAACTGGAATACTTTGCCTCTGAGGAAGAAATGTTATTTCTACAACAAGCAATTAATGACCACTTCTGCTATTTGAATTACTTTTAATTCCCATTACATGTTTGAAAATCATTATTTAGTATTCCAAGAAGAGTGAACAGAAGGCATTTACTTTTTAAAACAGTTTCTTTTTGGACCAAAAACAAACATTAATATCATAAGAACCTGTAATTGCCATAGTGATCCCTTGTCTGATAATACTCATTGGGGTAACAAAAACACTAGATTCTGTTTTTTATATTTCAGAATCCAAGTACTGAAGCTATTGATCTGTAATTCTATAGTTGAGGTCAATGCTACTAGGTCACCTGCAGGTTATTTTGTGGGAATTTAACCCACTGACTACAAGGACTCAATTCCCTGGAAATGACTTTTGCTGAAGGCATTATTAGTACAGTGAATGTAACCTTGGTAGAAAAACACAGTTATAGAGTTTTATGATAGGTGGTGCAGTCTTGTGGCTACAGGCCTGCAGGGGGTCTGGACATTTCCAGTAGATCTAAATCCTAGGAAATGTACTGTTTATTTCTATTCCCATCTTTTTCAATCTGATAAAGCTACAGATCAAAAGAAAAGTGACAACAAGCAGTGTCTTTTTTTGTTTTGTTTTGTTTTAATGTCTGTATTTTCCCAAAGTTTCTGGGAAAGAAAAGGAGAGGAGAAAACACTCATTGACATTTCTGTTCGTTGTCTCATGGAATCTTCAAAATAACAAAGCATGAGTTACTGAAGAAGTAGAAAGATCATGAGGAAAATAACTTCTAGCTCTAACAGTTACTATAAGAATTAAATAAGAAAGCATTTTCTTGCCATATCCTCCTACATTAGGTGCTTTCTGATTGATTTTTAGAGAAATCAGTTTTTTAGAAGAGCCCCAAGTTTACATAGCTCAAAATATTAGATTTAGCACTTAACTCCACACTAAAACACAAATAACTCTCCATCTTTTTAAGTTGCCTTGATGAATAACTACCAACCTGTTGCCAAATATCTGTTACATTGTCCTTTATTAGACTTATATGTCCTAAATCATCAATATATAAGATAACGATCAATTATTTCTGCTTTTTAAAACTGAAGTTAGAATTAAATTAAAGCTCAGAAATTTTAGTATTGTACTTTTAGTTTAGAAATAAGATAGAACTTTCCAAAAGTAAGGAAAGTTTCAGTATGTTTTATTAGATATTAAAATTATTCAATTTTTAAATGTTACCTTCTCTGAGAACATTCTTAACACTTTTTTTCTAATCAATTTTAAAAATTCATTATGATATCACAGTGTTATTTTCCTGTCATATGAGCACCTATTATAGGTTTAATTTTATTAGTGTCATTTTATTACAACTTTTTACTAGTATCTAATTATAATCTTCAAAGAAAACAAATCTTACAGA